GCATTATGCAAATATTTCCACATAGTGAGGTAGATATGTGGGGCGTGTTTAAACGAGGCGTTTTAGGAGGGCTTGGACGAGTCTTAACTTTTATAAAGAATATCTCTTTGGATTTAAGACTTTAGTCTTTGCAACTTTAGGGATCTTATCTATGCACGAACAGCTTGTAACACTCCAAAGAGAAAGGAAAACTTGAAATCGCATCATATGACCCCTTTAATGCGTTAAAGCTGTATACATTTTTATCAGTTCATACATTCTGTGGTTATCAAACTCATAAGTCTGTCATTGTAAAGTGGTACCGACTTGTTTTTGGAGAATATGCAGGGACCTTAAAGGAATAGTTCACACAAAAATGACAATTTGCTAAAAATGTCCTCACCCGCAGGCCATCCAAGATGTAGATGAGTTTGTTTCTTTCTTAGATTTGGAGAAATGTAGCATTGCATCATTTGCTCACAAATGGATCCTCTGCAGTGAATGGGTGCCGTCAGAATGAGAGTCCAAACAGCTGATAAACACATCACAATAATCCACAAGTAATCCACACCACCCCAGTCCAGCAGTTAATGCCTTATGAAATTAAAAGCTGAGTGTTTCTAAGAAACAAATCCAGCATTAAGATGTTTTTAACTTCAAACTGTTGCTTCTGGCCAAAATATGAGTCCTTAATCCATAATAATGCTTCATCCAGTGTAAAAGTCATCTGGTCTGAATCAGGAGAGAAATGTGCACAGATCAAGTACTGTTTACAAGCCAAAACAGTCCAAAAGAGCTCTAAACAAATATGTGGGTGGGTTTTGATGTGAGAGGACAACAGGAGATGGAGTTTTTCGCTTGAGGAAGAGTTACTATTGATTATGGACTCGTATTTTGGCAGGAAGCAACTGTTTGAAGTTAAATCTTAATTATGGATTTGTTTCTTACAAACACATAGTTTTTCATTTCACAAGACGTTAATTAATGGACTGGAGTGGTGTGGATTATTGTGATGTTTTTATCAGCTGTTTGAACTCTCATTCTGACGGCACCCATTCACTACAGAGGATCCACTGCTGAGCAAGTGATGGAATGCTACATTTCTCCAAATCTGATGAAGAAACAAACTCATCTACATCTTGGATGGCCTGAGAGTGAGCACATTTTCAGCAAATTTTCATTTTTTGCTGAACTATTTACTAATGAACTAAATCACAACACAAACACAAAATGTTTTCAAAACATTTCATAATAAGTTTTTATTTGTATTTTTGTGTGTCTGCAGTGGTTTATGTACCTCTGACTGACATAACCAGAGGTTTCAGGATAGTGTGCATTGTAGTTCATTGAAGTATGTTTAAATACTGGAGCATCTTGTGACATGTGTCTTTGTTTAGCACTGGGAGGTCTGAGTGAGCATTTCACAGATTATTCCCATAGAGCTTCACAGGCGTCTGCTAATAAGAGCCCTGCTGATAGAGTCCACAGTATGAGTACAAATGATCTCTGTCCATCTCAGCTTCTGAAACACTATCTAAAATAGCGATGGCCACTTAAAGCCACGAGTAAAGTGATGGAGAATGCAAGACTGAAGAATGAGATGTGAAGGTAAGAACATAATGGAAAAACAGCCTGCTTTCTGCCGCTTCTTGCACGTCTCCCCCAGAGCCAGGCTCCATCGCACTGCGGTTGCCATGGAGACAAAAATGGTACCTCGCAGTGAAGGATGTTGCAGATGCAGTGGAAATGCTGTCGTGACAAACCAGCAAAGGTCTCAAATTAGCAGCAATCAGACTTTAAATGAAGTGTTCACTTTTCATTTATCCTACAGATTTGATCAAACTGTTTGGTTTGATAAAATTTCAGTTTCGTTTCACAGAACTTTGCTGCTAGTTGATGATTTCAAACTCTGCTGCATAGAGTCAAATTGTCTTTGTGCATGTGTTTTGTTATATTTATGAATATTTATGAACTAAACAAGGAATAGCGATAAGATATATAATTATTTTTTATAATTAATATAAGACTCAACTATATATATATACAGTGGGTACGGAAAGTATTCAGACCCCCTTAAATTTTTCACTCTTTGTTATATTGCAGCCATTTGCTAAAATCATTTAAGTTAATTTTTTTTCCTCATTAATGTACACACAGCACCCCATATTGACAGACAAACACAGAATTGTTGACATTTTTGCAAATTTATTTAATGAGGAAAAAAAATTAACTTAAATGATTTTAGCAAATGGCTGCAATATAACAAAGAGTGGAAAATTTAAGGGGGTCTGAATACTTTCCGTACCCACTGTATATATATATATATATATATATATGTGTATATGTACTGTATATATACAAACACACACACACGTTTGTTTCTGTGGACTTTCCATAGATTTCTATTACTTTTATACTGACCAAAGATATTTTCTATCCCCTAACCCAACCCTAACCCTAATGTTACATTTTCAGATAAACAAAAAAAATGTACTATTTTTAATATTTTTTCCCTTGTGGGGACCACAGGTCGGTCCCCACAATGTAAAAAATTTCATGTTTTACTATTCTTGTGGGGACATTTGGTCCCCACAATGTAGCATAAACAAGTAGACACACACACACACACACACTCACACACACTCACACATATATAAACATACATTTTAGGGCAGCTGTCAAGCGATTTTTTTTATCTAATTACATGATGTGCTGTTAATTAATCACATCAAAAGATCATTTAAACTCATTATTGTGTTAGATGAGAAGAGCATTGAATAGACATTACAAAAAGTAGCGTTAGAAATAAATATTTTGATTTAACATTGCATAAATATTGATTTGATAACTCTTTACTTAAAGCCCTAATATAAAATGCATTATAAATGTAGTTTTAATGTATTAATTATAGGGGTGCTACGATCAGGATTTTTGAGACCGATCGCCGATCACAGAAAGCAGTATCTGCCGATACGATCACCGATACCGATCTTTTTAAAGCCTTATTTTAGAATTATTTATAGTAATACTCCAATCAGGAATTTTAGACATTTATTCAGGGCCTGAATTTCATTTTTGAAAATGGGGGGAATTCTCCTCTTATAGGTGACTCTTGTGAGAGGGGATTTTTTTAATTTGAGGGGTGGAGGGGAGCATTTTTTAGACATTTTTCAAAAATATATATTTATCTCACCTAAATGTTTGATCATGCAGCCCATTTTTGTTTTTACACTCGTGCAATTGTTGCACAATATCTTACACACAACACAAAAAGTTGCTCAAGCAAATGGCAAAACATTTAAAATACTTTTCTTACGTTATCACAAACATTCTAAATTAAAACTTACCACTGACA